AAAAATCTTCGAGAGAGCCCAAACCCTAATCCGAATGTTAGTCGTGTTGGTTGCAACTGGGGTGTGTTGGGCACACGCGTGTTGAGAACAGGGGGGGGTGCGTGTTGGGCAATTCTGGGGGGCAGCCTTTCCCAACTAACCCCCGGTCACGCCCGGGGGTTAGTTGGGAAAGGCTGCCCCCCAGAATTGGTTTTCGGAGTGATGACCCTACTCTGCAGGTTTGTTTTAAGTCCTCCTTCGACGACTTGGAGTTGGGTCTACCGTCTTCTTTTCAGCTTCCAAAGGGGGGACTTTACGAGGGGAAGAATTGGTGTGCGGGTTCATGACACGTCGGATGTGTTCCCCTCGTAAAGTCTCCCCTTTGGAAGCTGAAAAGAAGACGGTAGACCCAACTCCAAGTCGTCGAGAGAAGCCTTAAAATAAACTTGCAGAGTAGGGTCATCACTCCGAAACCCAATTCTGGGGGGCAGCCGTTCCTAACTAACCCTGGGCGTGCTGTACACATGGGCCCTGTTCCCGACTCACCCCCCCTGCGTTCCCGACTCACGCCTGCCCAGTTCCCAACACGCCCCCCCCCCCTGTTCCCAACACACCCTCGGCCCGCTCCCGACACTTGTAACCGACTCAACCTTCATCCACCCTAATCCGCCTAAACCCCTAAAACGCCTAAACCCTAAACCGCCTAAACCTTAAACCCTAAACCCTAAACCCTGAACCCTGAACCCTGAACCCTGAACCCTGAACCCTGAACCCTGAACCCTAAACCCTAAACCCTAAACCCTACCCCGGCAAAGGGTTTCTTGGGGTTGAAGGGGCTTGGGCCCGCAGACCTCCAGTCGCAGGCCGGTATGGGGCACTGTCTGCGTGAACACGGACGGAAGGTGCAAGTGTTTGGGGTTTAGGGCTTAGGGTTTAGAGTTTGGGGGGGGGGCCTATATAATGCTTAAGCAAGGAAAAGAACTCCTCCTTGCCCTTTAGCCCCTGAAGAATAGACTCCCCGCAGGACTTCTACTGACTGGCGCTTAGTCAGGGTTTAGGGTTAAGGGATGTTGAGGGTTTGCGGTTTAGTACAGGGTGCAGGGTATAGGGTTTCGGGTTTAGGGTTTAGGGTTATGAGGGTTTGGGGGTTTAGGGTCTGGGGTTAGGGGGTTAGGGTTGAAGGAAGGAATGAGGTATGAAATGTCGCCAATTCAAGGGATCTATTATGGGCATATCCCAGAACAGGGTCGTGTTAATCGTATCCGAGCCCCCAAGAAACCTGCGAAGGTCAAGGTGAGGGTGGAGCGCAAGCGGGGGTGGGGCTTAAGAAGTAGGGGCGCGCTCCTCGGCGCTTTTCGCACCAGCGCGCACCCTCAATTGAGACACCCTAAGCCCTAAGCCCTAAGCCCTAAGCCCTAAGCCCTAAGCCCTAAGCCCTAAGCCCTAAGTCCTAAGCCCTAAGCCCTAAGCCCTAAGCCCTAAGCCCTAAGCCCTAAGCCCTAAGCCCTAAGCCGCCCTAAGCCCTAAGCCGCCCTAAGCCCTAAGCCCCCCTAAGCCCTAAGCCCTAAGCCCTAAGCCCTAAGCCCTAAGCCCTAAGCCCTAAGCCCTAAGCCCTAAGCCCTAAGCCCTAAGCGCTGAGCCCTAAGCCCTAAGCCCTAAGCCCTAAGCCCTAAGCCCTAATTAAACCTTAAACCCTAAACCCTAAACCCTAGCCCTCATCTTCAGAAACCTTTACATGGCCGGCAGGTGGCGATCAAGATCTTCCACCGACTCGGTGGTCGGACGTCTGTGGGCCCAGAACCTGGGAAGTGTAGGCGATGCTCGAACTCCTAAAAAGCCGAGCCGGGTTTAGGGTTTTCGGGTTTTCGGGTTTTAGGGTTTTCGGGTTTTCGGGTTTAGGGTTTAGGGTTTGACGTTTAGGGTTTTAGGGTTTTAGGGTTTTAGGGTTTTAGGGTTTTAGGGTTTTAGGGTTTTAGGGTTTTAGGGTTTTAGGGTTTTAGGGTTTTGGGACTCTTACACCTTAAGCCCTAAACCCGAGCTCGGGGATATGTTGGCCTCAAGCCTCAAACATCCTCAACCCGAAGCCCTGGACCCGGGCGTTGCGCTGCGCCTGAGAGTCGGATCTCATTCGCCCCTTAGAGGGGGTCTGGGGGGCTTGGCATTACGCTCTATGGGTTTAGGGTTTCTAGGATATCTCCTAGATGACCGCGGAACCTGGTAGCCCTAAACCCTAAACCCTAAACCCTAGACCCTAAACCCTAAACCCTAAACCCTCTCTATCCAACACTCCACCGAAGACCGTAACTCTGAACCCGACGTCCCCCAGCGGCCGGAAACAAGTCGAGCCTCGGAGGATTCGCTGGATGCCCCCGTAAACCCTAAAACCTAAACCCTAAACCCTCAACCCTAAACCCTAAACCCTAAACCCCAAACCCCAAACCCCAAACCTGAAACCTTAAACCTTAAACCCAAACCCCAAACCCTAAACCCTAAAATCTAAACTCCAAACCCTAGCCAGGTTTCTCAAGGAGCTCACTGCACTTCGCAGAGCTACTCCCTCAGACCTGGAATGATGGCTACATTTTTTGAATATGGGGGTTGGGTTTCGGGGTTTAGGGGCTTAGGGTTTCAGTTTTAGGAGTTAGGGTTGGGATTTAGGGTTTTGGGTTTGGGGTTTAGGGGTTTTGGGTCCAAGGTTTAAGGTTTAGGGTTGGTCTAGGATTTAGGGTTGAAGTTTTAGGGCTTGGATTGTTTTGTTTAAGGTCTAGGGTTGAGGGTTTAGCAGTTGATCCAGATCGCGGCTGCCCTAATTACTGTGTTGGAGCATGTGCCCAATGAGGCGCCCTAGTCTCTACATTGACATGGAAGCCAATTTATTTGTTCATTTTTGTTGTCATATATGAAGTGGGAAGTTCCGCCCTATACTAAAAGCCCTTCATGGGATTGCAATAGGGGGCACGAGAGAATTCGCATACAGGACTGCTAGTAAAACGGGGAAGGTGCCAAAAACAACGAGTCGTCTAGGGTTATGATCATTCTCATGTCTTTATTGTTCCTTTGTTTGCGGGGATGGGGTGGGGGGGGGTGGTGGTGGTTCGGTTCCGAGTGCTGGGGGCCCTAAACCCTAAACCCAACATCCATGTCAGGGGGGGGGGGGGGGGGGGCACCCTAAACCTAAAACTAAACCCTTAACCCTAAGCCCTTAACCCTGGCAAACCCCCCGCCCTTCTACCCCCCTACGAAGCTGGGTGTTCCAAATCACAAGCTGACTCGCAACACTTGCTAGGGAGCCCGAGCCCGGTGGCTTCCACGGTTTAGGGTTTAGGGTTTAGGGTTTAGGAAGCAACAACCCCCACCCTAAACCCCTTAAACCCCCAAAAGCCAAGAACCCCGAACTCCTAAAACCCAGAAACAATAAAAGCCCCAGCCCCCAAACCACCAACGCCCCCCCCCCCCCCTTAATATAGGGGCCGAAATATTTTGAATAGGGTCTTGGGGGTTTTTATAGTTTATTTATAAAAGGGACTCTAAGGGAATAATATTAGTAATTCTCCCCCCCCTAAACCCTAAACCCTAAACCCTAAACCCTAAACCCTAAACCCTAAACCCTAAACCCTAAACCCTAAACCCTAAACCCTAAACCCTAAACCCTAAACCCTAACCTAAACCCTAAACCCTAAACCCTAAACCCTAAACCCTAAACCCTAAACCCTAAACCCTAAACCCTAAACCCTAAACCCTAAACCCTAAACCCTAAACCCTAAACCCTAGCAGAGTTAGGTCGGCACCCACCCCAACGTGCTGCGACTCCTGGAGAGCTACCAGGCGCGGATGCAGACCTTGTTTGTGTGTTAGTTTTTTTTGGGGGGGGGGGGTTTAGGGTTTGGGGTTTAGGGTTTAGGGTTTAGGGTTTAGGGTGTGGGGATTCGGGGTGAGGACCATGAACTTAAACCCCAAACCCTAAATCCCAGACCCCAAACTTGGGAAAGGGCTTACAACAGGGTCTCTCCTTTAGTCCCTTGGTCTACGAATTGCTTAAGAACCCCCCCCCCCCCACACACACACAAATATTCTTCCTTGTAGGGGTAATATAGGGATTTTTCTTTTATTGTTTTTGGGGGGATCTTAAGCAACTAGTAATGTAGAAAGGAATCCTTAATGTGATTCAAAGTATATTCCTTACTTGAGGGGTATTGGGCTCGTTGAGATCCCTACGCCCTAAGCCCTAAGCCCTAAGCCCTAAACCCTAAACCCTAAACCCTAAACCCTAAAACCTAAACCCTAAACCCTAAACCCTAAACCCTAAATATCCTAAACCCTAAACCCTCAACTGACTCCTTGCGGCCAGGGATTCGGAGGCCAGGATGTCCTGGTCCTCGAGTATTGCGACGGCTCCACGTGCCTTGGCTTTGCAAGGGGAAGGTTTAGGGTTTAGGGTTTAGGGTTTAGGGTTTTTGGGTTTTTGGGTTTTTGGGTTTTTGGGTTTTTGGGTTTTTGGGTTTTTGGGTTTTTGGGTTTTTGGGTTTTTGGGTTTTTGGGTTTTTAGGTTTTGGGGTTTTTGGGTTTTGGGCACAGGGTTTGGGGGTTTTTGGGGTGTAGGGTTGAGGGTTTTGGGTTTTTGGGGTTTTTGTAGGTTTCAGGGCTTGGAGCTCACATGTTGAAGGCGGCGGAGAGGGAATGACGAGGATACCGTAATGTAGGGTACCCTACTTTAGGATGCCCAGTAGTACCCTTTTTCCCTTTGGGGGGTTTTCGGTTCCCTTATAAACCCCTTTCGCCACAAAAAGGGCACCCGTCTTACTCCTAGGTTTTACTGGGCGACCTAGTACTTGTGACCGACGAGGTTCCCTGAGCCTTCAAGTGGGAGGTGCAAGTGGCACAGCCGAGCTGGTTCAAACGCCTCGGCCATGAACCCGTTCACTCGGTTTAGGGACGGTTTTTTGGGACTTAGGTACTTAGGTTCAGGGTCGGTAGAGTAAACACAAAGGAACGGCGTGTCTTTGCAGGTGCCCCTGAGTGCCATGGATCCCATGCTGAAAGGTGTGGAGCTGGCCAGAAGCAGCCACTTCGCATTTGTCTTCGGGCAGTACCTGCCGCGGCAGCACCAGCGCGCGCCCCCGCCCCCCCCGCCCCCGTCCCCCAGAGCCGCAAGGGCCGGTGGTGCCGAGAGGCGCAAGAAGAGGACAAGGGGAAGCCTGTCCCAGCCCCAGGAGGGTTTCGTCGAGGAGGGCAGGAGGAGGAAGAGGAGGAGGAAGGCTCCTGGGACCCAGAGAAGCTCTTCCCAGCCTGAGGGTTGTGAGGAGGGGAGGAAGAGGAAGCGGCTGACGACCCGGAAGGCTCGGACTCGCTTCGACCGGGCGGTGCGCTCGGCGGAGGCGAAGCGGTCCGCGCTGGTCGGGAGCTGGCGAGGCCTGGGCCGCAAGCGGAAGAAGAGCGAGATCGAGCCCATTTTCTGGGAGCCGGAGCATGAGGCCTTGGGCATGAAGCTCTTTGAGTTCAACTTCAAGAAGTGGCTCCAGGAACGCCGGCTTGCTAGCTGCTTGCAGCGAGACGCGAGCCTTGATCCGCCGAGAGAGGAGGGGGCTCCCTGCAGGCCCTTCATCTACTTCAGGTACACGGCCCCAGACCGGCCTGACACTGCGCAGATTTCCCCCGGCTCTTTCTGGGTCAAGGCCTACCACGGCACCTGGTTCTATGGACTCCGCAGCATCCTACAACACGGGGTTCTGCTCGAATCGGTGAGCGAAGACCAGGGCCATGAGTTTTGGAAGCCAGGGCTTTACCTGACGCCTTGGCTGAAGACGGCGAACTGGTATGCCAGGGCCCAGAACCTAGGCCCGAGAGTATAGGCCCATATTCTTTGTTTTTTTTTTTTTTTTTTTTGGGGGGGGGGGGGTTGGGTTTCCAGCTAAACGCCCCTTGAAAACCAAAGAGCAGGGCACGACGATTTTGTATTCCTGGCTGCTTACTTCTGGGCCCAGGAACGTCTTCAACGACCAGGTCTTCCACCGGGCCATCGTCGAGGTCCTCTACGACCCCTCGAACCTTGGGGACGACCTGAACCCTAAAAGGGTTTAGGGCCTTAATAGGATTTCATACCACCTTAAGGGGAAATATATAGTAATATAGGGTAGTATATGACCCCAATCTTACAAGGTTCATCTGTGGTCCCCCAAGGAAGAAGAAGATCTACCGGGAGCGCGGGGGAGGCCAGATCGTCGTGACCAGCGACGCCGTGGCCATCACCGGGCTTATCATACAGCCCAACTCCCCACCGCTCCTTGGTTGCCCAGTGGTACCCTTTATAGACCCTCTTTTTTTGGGGGTTCCCTCATAAAGTAACCAACCCTAAACCCTAAACCCTAAACCCTAAACCCTAAACCCTCAACCCTCAACCCTAAACCCTAAAAACCCTGAACCCCCAAAGAAGGGTGCCCTTATTGTAAGATGGTTGCTGGGCTACCAAGGCTCAAGGGCGAAGAGAGGAGCGAGAGGTGGGACCCCTCGCTGGAGTGCTGAAAGAAAAAGTCGGGCGGGGGTTTAGGGTTTAGGGTTTAGGGTTTAGGGTTAGGTTCTAGGGTTTAGGGTTTAGGGTTTAGGGTTCAGGGTTTAGGGTTTAGGGTTTAGGGTTTAGGGTTTAGCTGGGAGGGTGAGCCTTCAAGCACGCCCCGCCGCCCAAGACGCCTAGAGCACGAAACCCGAAAGCCCGACGGCCCTAAACCCTAAACCCCCTAAACCCCCTAAACCCCCTAAACCCCCTAAACCCTAAAACCCTAAAACCCTAAACCCTAAAACCCCCTAAAACCCCCTAAAACCCCCTAAAACCCCCTAAAACCCCCTAAAACCCCCTAAAACCCCCGAAAACCCCCGAAAACCCCAAAACCCTAAACCCCCTAAAACCCCCTAAAACCCGAAAACCCAAAACCCCTATAACCGTAAAACCCTATAACCCTAAAACCCTAAACCTCCTAAACCCCAAAAGCCCTAAAACCCAAAACCCGAAGCCCTAAAACCCGAAACCCGAAATCCTACAAACCCTCAGGTTGTACGACCTCTACGCGCGCGAGCATCCCAAGGCTCGGAGCTTCTCTGGGGCCTCTTGGGGGGGGCCTGTTATGGGGTTTAGGGTTTAGGGTTTAGGGTTTAGGGTTTAGGGTTTAGGGTTGTTTAGGGTTTATTAGGGTTTAGGGTTTAGGGTTTAGGGTTTAGGTACCTAGGGAACCTCGGGGGGTTTTGGGGATGGCCACTTCTCTAACATATGGTCCCCTCTTATGTAGGGTGCCCCAAAAGGGACCATAATCTTGAGAACTCGCCATATAAAGTATCCTACACCCGAAGCCCTAGACCTTGCCTTGTACAAAGCCGAACCCCCGGCCACCCCCAAAAACTGTCAATAGTGGGGCCCGAGCCCGCGGTTAGGGTTTTGGGTTTAGGTTTGAAGGTTTGGAGTTTAGGGTTCGAAGGTTTGGGGTTTAGGGTTTAAAGGTTTGGGGTTTAGGGTTTACGTTTTATTAGGTTTCAAAGGTTTAGGGTTAAACGTTTGGGGTTTAGGGTTCATATGGCCTTTTCCACGCGTCAGGGGGGACTACCAGAGCGCTTGGTGGCCCGCCTTCTGCGACAGCCGACGCCCGAGACTAGGGTTTAGGGTTTAGGGTTTAGGGTTCAGGGTTTAGGGTTTAGGGTTTAGGTTTTAGGGTTTAGGGCCCAAGAGTTCTTCAAACCCTGAACCGCAAACCCCCCAAACCCCCCAACAACCTAAGCCCTAAAACTTCTAAAAACCCCAAAAAGCCCTATAAACCCTATAAACCCATAAACCCTAAACACTCTAAACCCCAAACCCCAACCCCCCCCCCCCCCCCCCCCAAACCCCCAACAACCCTAAACGCTCTGAACCCTCTGAAACCTCTAAACCCTCCAAACCCTATAAACCCCAACACCCTGTAAACCCCATAAACCCTAAAACCCCTAAAAACCCTAAACCCTAAACCTAAATGCCAAACCCTAAAGCCTGGACTCTAAACTCTAAACCTTAAACCCTAAGCCCTAAACCCTAGAATCCCTGGACCCTAGAAACCTTAAACCCTAATCCCTAAACCCTAGAAACCTTAAACCTTAAACCCTAAACCCTAAAGCCCCTCATCCCTAAATCCTAAACCCTAAACCCTAAACTCTAAACCCTAAACCCTAAACTTCCCTAAACCCTAAACCCCTCCTCCCCAAGGCTCTTCCTGGCGCTGGCGCACCTCGCCTCCTGCGGCGTGGAGCACCAGGATGCCCGGACACCCGTTTAGGGTTTTTAGGGTTTAGGGTTTAGGGTTTAGGGTTTAGGGTTTAGGGTTTAGGGTTTAGGGTTCAGTAATTATTAGGGTTTAGGGTGTTTAGGTTTAGGGTTTAGGGTTTAGTAGGGTTGATGGGGCATCTAGGGTTTATAGGGCTTATAAGGTGTATCGGGCTTATAGGGCTGAATAGGGTTTTCAGGGTTATATCGCATTTTATGGGCTTACCAGGGCTCATGGGGCTTATAGGGCTTTGCATGGCTTACAGGGCTTATAGGGTGTCCATGGTTTTTTCGGGTTTATAGGACTTAAGGGTTTTCAATCATGGGTTCCATCAATCATTGTGGTTCACATTGTGCATCATCCGATCCAACACCATATCCAAGGCAGATGCTGGCATTGCACAGGACATGGGAAACACATTGATGCCCATTTTCAACAACCACATGGTGGAGCCACAGACCGGTCACCTCTTGAAACACCCATCCGACTCCAGACTTGACAGTCGGCTCTATTTTTCTTGGAGGGCCATGATCTGCGACGGGGCAGCCCATAAAGCAGCGTGGTCATCCAAAGGAGATTCTGGCACGAAGTTCTGCATGCTCTGCGCGAATGCCACTGGACACAAGCCAACCATGGACAGCCAGGCCCAGGCTGCGGGCATGGACCCAGTAGGGGACCCGGGTTTCATAAGGTTTTGGGGGTTGAACAAGGGTTTAGGGTTTAGGTTTGGGTTTGGATAGTCGCGACTTCGGGTTTAGGATTTCAGAATGGCCAGTGCCTGGAGCACGGCCCCCCTAAACCCATCTACGCTGCGCATCAACCCCATAAGCCCTACAAACCCAACAAACCCTATCAACCCTATCAGCCCTACAAGCCCTATAAGCTCTGAGCAGCCAACCTCGAAACCCAGTAACCCCGAAAGCAGGGGCTTGGTCTTTGGGGTGGCGGGCTTGAGATACCTGGCCTGGGGCCGGCGGGCATTCCGGCAAGAGTGCGCGGTTTAGGGTTTAGGGTTTAGGGTTTAGGGTAAAGGGGGGTTTTGGGTTTGGGGTTTCGGTTTAGGGTTTTAGGGTTCAGGAGTAATTACTCAGAGGTGCTTATTTGCGGCTATGGTTTGTGAAGGCGTTCGGGCAAATCTGTGCTTCAGCGGTTTGGGAGGTTTAGGAGTCTAGTGGATGAGCCAGAGAGAGAGATAGAGAGAGAGAGAGAGAGAGAGAGAAAGAGATAGAGAGAGAAAGAGAGAGAGAGAGAGAGAGAGAGAGAGAGAGAGAGAGAGAGAGAGAGAGAAAGAGAGAGAGAGAGAAAGAGAGAGAGAGAGAGAGAGAGAGAGAGAAAGAGAGAGAGAGAGAGAGAGAAAGAAATAGAGAGAAAGAGCGAGAGAGCCAGGGAGAGAGAGAGAGAGAGAGAAAGAAAGAGAGAGTCAGAGAGAGAGACGGAGGAAGGAAGAAAGGAAGGAAGGAAGGAACAGAGAGAGAGAGAGAGAGCGACAGAGAGAGAGAGAGAGAGAGAGCGAGAGAGAGAGAGAGAGAGAGCAGGGTTTGTCTTTTCCCCGAGCAGCTCAGGACCGATCCAACCTCGCAATGCAGGCTGAGTAGCCCTAAAAAAACACTACAAAACCCTTAAAAAAACATAAACCCTGAAAGCCTATAAACACGCTATCGGCCCTTATTTACACAGAAGTCCCCCGAAGGGCATCCTGATTTTCAACTCATTCGGTCCCCGGTGCCTTCAGGTCAAGCCGGAGAATATGATGCTGTACGACGTACATGCCGCGCTCCTGCGTTCAGAAAGGTTTTAAATTTAGGGTTTATAGGGTTCAGGGTTCAGGGTTTAGGGTTTAGGGTTTACGGTTATCGATCAAGAACCACTAGGCAAGGACTAAGGGAGGGGGGTCCATGGGGCTTCGGTACGTAGGGAACCTTAAGGAAGCTTAGGGAGCCTTTGGGAGTAGTGGGGAGTCTTCGGGAATCTTGGGCTACCTACCCCCCCCCCCCCCCCTTGAACCCCCCCGTCCCTGAAGAGCCCTACAAAAGGAGGCCCGTTGGCCGTGCCTCACACCCTTTATTGCAACATGTTATAGGCCCTTCGTCCCTTTTTTTAGGAGTTTAGGTTCCCTTTATAAGCATACAAAGACAGACCCCCAAAAACCTATTCTAACCCTAAACCCTAAACCCTAAACCCTGAACCCTAAACCCTAAACCCCAAACCCAAACCCTAAACTGGTTTCGGGTTTCGGGTTTAGGGTTATATATGAAAATGTGAACCCCTAGCCCGTAAACCCTGAAGTGTAATTGCGAATGCTCATCCCCTTCAGATCCCGAAAGCGCAAGCGCCTGAGCACGCAGCAACCTACTCGCACATCCGTTCAGCCTCCACTGCAAAACAAGGTAATGCTGAAACCCTGAACCCTAATAAGCCCAAAACCTGCACACCCTAAACCCTACAAACCCTAAATCCTAAACCCTGCACCCTGCACCCTACAAATCATAAACCCTAAACCCTACACCCGACAAACCCGAACCCCAAGAGTTTTTTTTGGATGTTCCCCCTTGTACTAACAGTCCTTAATAGGGACTATAGTACTCCGATTATAATCCCTATTAAGGAGCTGTTAGTAGAAGGGGAAACATCCCAACCTAGACCTGAAAAACTCAGCGAAGCCCGATAAACCCCGATAAACCCCTATAAACCCCCAAACTCACCTTGAAACCCTACAGCCCTAAACCCTACATAAACCCTACAACCCTAAACCCTAAACCCTAAACCCTACAACCTACAACCTACAACCCTAAACCCTAAGCCCTAAGCCCTAAACCCTAAACCCTTTACCCTTTTGGTTTCCGAGGTCGCGGCCTTCCAGGCCGAGTTGAAGCTTGGGGACTTCGGCTGGGCGGCCGTGGCCCCGCCGCCCGGGGCGGAGGAGGGCAAGGTGGCGAAGCCGCCACCCACAGGCCCTTTAGGGTTTAGGGTTTAGGGTTTAGGGTTTAGGGTTTAGGGTTTAGGGTTTAGGGCGGATTCGTGGAGTTTGGGGCTTGGGGATAAGGTTTTTAGGGTTTAGGGTATAGGGTTTCAAGGTTTAGGGTTTAGGGTTTTAAGGTTTGGGGTTTACAGTTTAGGGCCGTAAACCTTAAACCCTAAACCCTCGAAACCCCACAGCCGAACCCGAACCCGCGCGAGCGCGCGTGCGCGCGACATTCTTGGAGAAGTTGGCAAGCACGAATCATCAATCATTCCAAACTAATTAGGACCCAGAGTAGGCCCTTATTCCCGTATTTGAGGGTTGAGGTTTCCATCCCAAGCACCCTTTAAACCCAAAAAGGGCACCCTGTTTTTTTGTCAATGCTACTCTTGGGTCTCAGACCCTAAGCCCTAAACCCTAAACCCTAAACCCTGAACCCTAAACCCTAAACCCTAAACCCTAAACCCTAAACCCTACGTGAACTCAAAAGTAGGCCCTGCTCCCCAAAGATATACCGAAAGGTAGGTTCCTTCAGTATGCCCTCAAAAACTTAGGCACCTTAGGCACCTTAGGCACCTTAGGCACCTTAAGCCCTCAACCCTAAACCCTAAACCCTAAACCCTAAACCCTGAACCCTGAACCCTGAACCCTGAACCCTGAACCCTGAACCCTGAACCCTGAACCCTGAACCCTGAACCCTGAACCCTGAACCCCAACCTCTGGTCCCAGCTCCACTTAAGTTGTCAAGCGCTTCCCTCGGAGGCGCTGGCTCCTTGTGGTACGCGCCGCCCGAGCTCAATCCCCCCGTGGAGGCAGCAAGGTCAAGTCGTTTGGTACCCAAACTCTAAACCCAAAACCCTAAACCATCCTAAACCCTAAACCCTAAACCCTGAACCCTGAACCCTGAACCCTAAACCGCCTAAACCCTAAACTTTTCGGGTTAGGGTTTCAGGGTTGAGGGAACCTAAACCCTGAAACCTTATGAGCCCTAAACTCTCAGGGCATCGACCCAGAGTTTCCGGCTCTGGACGACCATGGCGAGCCAATTCGAGGCCAGGGTTGAGGGTTAGGGTTTCGGGTTTAGGGTTTAGGGTTTAGGGTTTAGGGTTTCGGGTTCAGGGTTTAAGGTTTAGGGTTTAGGGTTTGAGGGTTTGAGGGTTTGAGGGTTTAGGACCTAGGGTTCAGGGCTCAGGCTCCAGGGATGCTAATTAAGGAGACTTGTTTGCCAGCTTTCGCTCCGGCCTCCGCGCCGGCCTCTGCTTTCTCCTCTCTCCCTTGGGACGTTGCCCCTAGATACAGTCCTTAGTGGCTTGAAGTGTTTAGGGTTTAGGGTTTGAGCTGTTAGTAGAAGAGGGAACATCCCAACCTCCATCTCTCTCAAGATTTCGGGGTTTCCGAAATTTGGGGGTACCTTATTGGGGTCCTGATTAAAGGGGGAATCATGCCATGTTGGGGCCCCCCCCATGCTCGTAAACCCTGATGTGTCAGGGGTAGTTGATAGAATCAGCTATCTGGAGATGATGAAGAGGGGCCAACTTCGGAAGCGATGACCATAGGCTTGCGCTTACGACGGAACCACGCAAACCCTAAATCCTAAACCCCAAGCCCTAAACCCTAAACCCTAAACGGCCCCAAACCCTAAACCCCAAACCCTGAACCCCAAACCCGAAACCCCAAACCCTAAACCCTAAATCCCAAACCCTAAACCCTAAACGGCCCCAAACCCTACACCCTAAACCCTGAAGGCCTCAGCGACATGTGGAGCGCCGGCGTCGCCCCTCTGCCTGTCAGCCCCGCGCGCTCTCCCGGGGTTTAGGGTTTAGGGTCTAGGCTAAAACCCTAAACCAAGGGTTCAGAGTTTGGGGTCCGGAGCCCAAAACCCTTTGAGGGTGTAAGGGTTTAAGGGTTTGAGGGTTTAAGGGTTTAGGGGTTTAGGGGTTTAGGGGTTTAGGGGTTTAGGGGTTTAGGGGTTTAGGGGTTTAGGGGTTCAGGGGTTTAGGGGTTTACAGGATGCCCTTGCTCCCTGTTTATGGCTGAGGTCTCAACGTGAAGCCCTTACACGTGAAAGAAGGGCATGTGGGGGTTGCTTTAGGGTTTAGGGTTTAGGGTTTCGGGTTTAGGGTATAGGGCAAGCTAGTCCTTGAGAAGCATATGAACCCAAGAACCCTAAGCCCAAAGCCCAAGCAGGAAAGGAAGCTGCATAAGGCCTAAATCCCAATACTCCTAAACCCAAACCCCGAAACCCTCCGTAAACGTTAAGCCCTAAACCCTATCCGCCTCTCTCTCTCTCACATACACACACAACAAGGCGTGTAATGTATGGAGCTGACCATAACGAGAGTAGCCAGAGCTTTGAATAAGGGAACACGTATATGTATGCATCATATTAGAGAGAGAGAGAGAGTGAGTGAAGAGAGTAATAAAAGTCAGAGTGTGAGAGAGTGAGAGAGCACAAGAGAGCACAAGAGAGCACAAGAGAGCGAGAGAAACGGCCGTCTCTTCTTGGAGTCTCTCAAGAGTTCAGGTGCTTTACCTGCTGCTCGTGGGCCACAACCCTTTCAACCAGGCGCTCAAGCAGCCGTCGCAGGAGTTGCAAGACCAGGACGTGCCACTTGTGAGAGGAAAGACCCATCTCCTCAAACCCTAAACCCTAAACTAAACCCTAAACCCTAAACCCTAAACCCTAAACCCTAAACCCTATCTCTGTAGTACCCAGGAGCCATTCAGGGAACCTTGGGTGTTTAGGGTTCCCATGTAGGTAGGCGCTAAACCCTTAACCCTTAGCCTTGAACTTTCAACCTTAAACCCTTATGGTGTTCCGAATTGGAGTTCCCAGGCGCTCGGTCGTAGACCTCCATCATATGAAGACTGCCCCCCCTCCCCCCTGGAAATCCGTAGCCCGTGAAGACACAATATTATGACTATAAGGTCACGTTCGTTTCGTAGGGGTGCGGGGGTGGTCCGATAAGGGGAAGGGGATTACCCGACACTTAACACCCTGAACCCTAAACCCTCAACCCTCAGCCGCACAGAACCCCTAAACCCTAAACCCCTAACCCCTCAACCCTCAACCCTAAACCCTAAACCCCAAATCTGATCTGCAAAAGATCTCCCGATCCCAAGACGCTTTTGGCGGAGGAAGTGCTGCGGCTCGTGGCGCTGGGAAACTACAACCGGCGCACGGAGAGGCCCAACCTTGGGCTTTGGGGTTTAGGGTTATTGGGGTTTAGGGTTTAGGGGTTTAGGGTTTAGGGTTTAGGGTTTAGGGTTTAATGTGGGACCCTCTTTAATGTGTAGGGCCCCCCCCCCCTCCCCCCCCTGAACAGTCGAGGCGTGGATGGGATCCTGATTACACGGCCCCGGGGGCTTATATGATTTTCATAGGGAGGAGTTTAGAAGGGACAGCGATGCCCAGCATCTTTTTTAAAGGCGCGCCGCGTGGATTTTTCTTACGGCGCCTGGACGATTTGACTTTAAAGAGGATCCCCCAAACAGTCAGGGGATCCTGAATAATTCGGCCAATTTGACTTTAAAGAGGCCCCCCCCCCCCCTACTAAACAGGGTCCGACCTTAGGGTTTACGGTTGGGGGCTTAAAGTGCCCAAGTTGTTGCTTGGCCTTTGGGGTTTAGAGGGGTTATAGGGGTTGCTGAGGGTCTGTCGGGTTCTTAGGGCCGCATAGGCTTCATGCGGCTTTTCTAGGGTCTGTGGGACGTTTGGGGTGTGAATGGTCCATTTTGTCTTGTGAGGGTTTTGAGGGTTGATGGGGGCTTATCGGTGTTTACGGGGTTCACAGGGTGTGAGGGTTTAAGGCTCAAGCTGAGACCCTACAACCCTAAACCCTGATTGGGTTTAGGGTTTAGGGTTTGGGGTTTAGGGTTTAGGGTTTTAGGGTTTAGGGTTTAGGGTTTAGGGTTTGGGGTTTAGGGTTTAGGGCTCACTTTGCTGCTCAAGCTTCCAGTGCCCCGGGCTCACGAACACCTTCGGAAACCTGCTTGGCGGTTCATGGGTACCTATAACCCCAACTTCGGGTTTAGGGTTTAGGGTTTAGGGTTTAGGTTTACGTTTTTGGGTTCAGGGTTTATGGTTTGGGCTTTAGGGCTTATAACCCCAGTTATAAGTCTGCTCAGATCACTCACCACTACGGTGATTTTGAGCACCCCCTGGTACCCCAGACCCCAAATTTGGGTCACATTGGTAAACGCGACCTCAGGACCTACGGGGCTTTTTAGTACAGTTCTGATTGGGGTCATAAGTACGGGGGTCCTTGAGCAGCAAATATGGGAACCATAGAAATTGCTGCGTGTGGACCATAATCTAGAGAATGGAGAACTCCTCAGAAAAAGGAACCTGTTCGAAAACCACCAGACCATGCGGGCGTTCTCAACTCCATCGAGCGGTCCTTTTCTTAGAGCCTGCACAGGTAGAAGTGAATGCCCAAGCCCCTAAACCCCAAACCCCAAAACCCCAAACCCCAAACCCCAAACCCCAAACCCCAAACCCCAAACCCTAAACCCTAAACCCTAAACCCTAAACCCTAAACCCTGCTCCATATGAAGCTGGCGCAGATGGCTGCAGCTTCACCCAGATGCACGTGACCTGATCACCAAGCTCCTGCGCGTGCAGCCCGCGCAGAGGTGCCTTGGGGGCTTTAGGGTTAGCGTTTAGGGTTTAGGGTTTGGGGTTTAGGGTTGAGGGTTATTGTATGTTTGGTTAAGTGGCACTGGCGCGATGCGGGCTTGGCTGAAATTGAAATTGGGCTTTGACCACGCGCTTGTTGAACACATACACTCACCCTGAAAGGGCCCCCACGATCCAACAGGGGTGAGGGTTTACCATAGGGTTCCTTCGGGACGGGTTTGGGGAATGCCGCAATACCTTGGTAGATAGGGGATTCCGAAATTCGGGGTACCTTATTACAAGGGAATCCGACTATTGGGAAACGATATTCGGGGTCCCCAAATAGTCGTAAACCCCCAAATAGAATGAAGCCACAGCCTCCGTCCTGCCGAACGCGGCCGGTAGCGCATACGCCCCGAGCGCGAAGCTCATGACGCCCATACGTCCGATGCATCCCGATGCTACTTGCCAAGAAGTGGAACCTTAAACCCTAAACCCTAGACCCTAAACCCTTAACCCTAAACTCTAAACCCTAAACCCTAACGAGGTGCAGTGCGACCGATGCACTGCAGACGGCCTTCATCACGCGCCGCGCGGTCATGGGCCGGGTGGCAGGCGAGGAGGAGTTGCTGCAGGGTTTAGGGTTTAGGGTTTAGGGCTCAGGGCTTAGGGCTTAGGGCTTATAGGGTTTAGGATTCAGGGTTGGGTATGTATGGACAGGAAGTTTTCAGTTTTGTTGCTCATTTTGGGATCTCTCGGTTGAGATGACTCTTGCAGATTCTCAGATGCTGTTGGGGCTGATATCTGCTGTCTTTCAATGGCTACGTCGCTGAAATCAACAGGTAAAGGGACAAGTTTACATAAACCTCCAGGCACAAACTGCTAAAGAACCCTTTCCCCCAACCTAAACCCAAAACCCAAAACCCTAACCCTAAAACCTAAAGAGCCCTTCCCCCTTCCCCCCCCCCCCCCCCAGCAGCCATCTTTCCCTAAACCCTAAACCCGAAACCCTAAACCCTAAGCCCTCAACCCTAAACCCTAAACCCTAAACCCTACTTCCCCCCCTTTCAAGATGCGCGCCAAGGCTACGGCGGCAACTCCAGCGCGATCTCCGCGTGCGCGGGGCTCGGAGAAGCTGAAGCAGCCGCGGCGAAATTCTGAAAACTACTTTAAGATGTCGGCTTGGGGTTTAGTGTTTAGGGTTTAGGGATTAGGGTTTTAGGGTCTAGGGTTTCAGGTGTTATAGGGTGGTTTTATTAGGGGGGTTGCCAAGCCTTCCTAAAAACCGACTACGCCTGGAACCCAAACCCATCTACTGGGTTTTGGAGTACTGTTCTTTAATACTTTTTTTGGTTCTGGGTTCCTATTACAGCTACTTATACCTAAATGTTCTTTAATACTTTTTTTGGTTCTGGGTTCCTATTACAGCTACTTATACCTAAAAAGTATAACCTCACGCCGGAGGCATGGAAAGCGAGCCCTCCGTCTTCTTCCGGGGCTCAGTCGCGCCCTGGGCGGCCTGGCACTTTCTTTACGGGATCTTTAAGGGGGTGTAGGGTTTAGGGTTTAGGGTTTAGGGTTTAGGGTTTAGGGAAGTTTAGGGTTTAGGGTTTAGGGTTTAGGGTTTAGGGTTTAGGGTTTAGGGTACCCCCTCGCCCCAAAGAACAAAAGCTTGCGGCTTTGTCGGCGTTTGTGGCCTGCGTGCTTTGACAGGAATCGGCCTCAAGTGAACCAGAGGTTTGTGGCCCGAAGAAAGGACAAGCTCAGTTTCGTGTCGACCCAGCACCCCCTTGAAGACAAAGCGTACCCCATAACTGGGTATTGCTTTGGGACAGTTTCAAACTTCCCTTCTTTCCCTTTTAAGGGAACCTACTCATAAATAATTTCCAAAGGGCTTGAAAGCAACACCCAGATAAAGGGTGGTCGGTCGTGAATCAGAGTATCTAGCAGATCGTCACCTACTTTCTCAGTTCCTTGCTAAGCCCTACTTATTGGGATGTTTTTTTCGCTTTGACAGTCCTTCATAGGGATTTTTCGTAGCCCCCATTATAGTCCCTATGAAGAACCCTATGAAGAACTATTCGGGGGAACCTCCCAACCTAAACCCAACAGGGGCCGTTCCTAGAGTGGCATGGGAGCTTGAACAGAACAAACTGGCGCAAGAAGCCTCTCGGTGCCGTGGGTCCGACAAGAGCGCAACCTCCGAACTCCGAACCCCAAACCCCCCGGAACCCTGATGAGCCCTAGTCCCCAAACCCGAGAATCCCCCCCGAACCCTGATTAGCCCTAATCCTTCAAACCCTAGAAACCCCTAAGCCTAAACCCTAAACCGTAGAAACCCCGAACCCTAACCGAAACCCTGCAGCCTAAGCCCTAAACCCTAAACCCTAAACCCTAAACCCTAAACCCTAAACCCTAAACCCTAAACCCTTAGCCCTAAGCCCTAAGCCCTAAGCCCTAAACCCTAAACCCTAAGCCCTAAGCCCTAAGCCCTAAGCCCTAAGCCCTAAGCCCTAAGCCCTAAGCCCTAAACCCTAAACCCTAAACCCTAAACCCTAAACCCTAACCCTAAACCACCCCAAATGCTGGGAGCAGACTCTTTTCGATCCGAGGCCGGACGGGAACGCCGATGGGCGCGGTTGGACGGCTTCCAGCCGGGACACCTAGGGTTTGTCGGGGGTTTAGAACCCTAAACCCCAAACCCTGAACCCTGAACCCTAAACCCTAGAACCCTAAACCCCAAGCATTTCCCTTAGCCTCCCAGAGACTTCCCCAGGCGCCTCGCCTGGTTGGCGATGGCGCGGGCGCTCTCCGAGCCCGAGTTGGATCGATCCGTCGTCCAAGGTTGGATTCCAAGGGCAGCAGGGTTTAGGGTTTAGGGTTCAGGGTTCAGGGTTTAGGGTAGGACCCCAGAGCAGGCCCTTCCAGATGGGTTGTTAGGCCTTATCATCCCCATCATCAACATCATCAACCCCACGAAGTGCCTTAAATCCCTACAGTATATAACGGTGGATAACTCGACGCGGAGGCTCCCCAAACTCCAGTCCAGCTTCACATAGCAATACAGTCTCCACACCTTTCTATTCCTGGCATCCCCAAAAAAGACACCAATGATCTTATACACTCACCAAATATTTCCTAAATACATTCACCAGTAACAGCAATATCAACCCTGTTTCGTAGAGTGTCAGATTCCATGGATGCCGGGGATTTTTCGGTGCTGATTGGGTGGAGGTGCCATGGAGGGCATGGAGCACGAGCGCCAGCGCCGCTCCAGTGAGCCCCGCGAGGCCTATTGGGGTGTTTGGGGCTAGGGTTTAGGGCTTTAGGGCTTTGGGGCTTATCGGCTTAGGGTTTAGGGCCTTAGCGCTTTAGGGCTGTAGGGCTTCAGGGCTTTAGGGCTTTAGGGCTTTAGGGCTTTAGGGCTTTAGGGCTTTAGGGCTTTAGGGCTTTAGGGCTTTAGGGCTTTAGGGCTTTAGGGCTTTAGGGCTTTAGGGCTTTAGGGCTTTAGGGCTTCACTATTTAGGGCTTTAGGGCTTTCGGGCTTATCGGCTAAGGGTTTAAGGCTTTAGGGCTTAGGGCTCTAGGGCTTAGGGCTTAGGGTTTAGGGCTGGCTTAGGGCTTATCGGCTTTCGGGGGTGTTAGGGCTTTTGTGGCCTTGACAGCGTAGTTGCTTCTGCGCACACCAAGCAACGCAATGGGAGAACCCTAAACCCTAAACCCTAAACCCTAAACCCTACACCCTGAACTCGCATGAGGCCGGCTACCTTTGGCAGCTGGCTCGGGAACTGGGCACGGCGCCCGTCTTCCAGTGGCTCCAGGACACAACATCCCCGCGTTTAGGGTTCTGAAGCAGGTGGGGTGGCTGGGGGCGGGCCCTTGCACTTGGTTGGGAAGGTTTTGCTCTACTTGATTAGGGAATTTAGGGTAAGTTTTTATAGGGTATTTCGCAAACGTCTCTTCGAATGTCATCCCTTCAAACTTCCCTGAAAGGCTGGCTGAACAGGGCTACTGGGAGCTTGAAGTTACCGAAAGGGCACCCCCCATCACTTATGGTCTATATGCGTACCTCAACTCTCAGCCCTAATGGACGATATTATGGCGCGGGCATGGATGCTCTGGCCATTCGCACGCACTGGTAGCTCGGACGTTGTCGTCGTGCGGGCCAAGTGTGTCCAGCCGCAATGGTTTTTGCAGCAGCTGCATGGGTTTTTACACTGATTTGAGCCTGTGACCCATACGAAACACCGCAAATACCCGTGCCAACTAAAAGTACGAACGGCCTGAAACAGCAGGTGCCGGAAACACTGCGCCCACCGGTGTTTTCGGCATGTCACCGACACGAAGCACTGTGAATACCGATGCAAACGACATGTGCGAGGCGCGCGTGGACGTCTTGCTGGAGGGTAGAACAAAACACAATATAGCACAGTACAGTATTGTGTCGTGTAGGGCAGCTGGGCCCCCAGAAATCCTGCGAACCTCCAAACCACCTTGATCTGCCAGGAGAGAAGTGCTTTCTGGCTGCATTTTTTGTTGGGGTCATCTTGGGGGTCAAGTGCTTCTTCCCGGCTTCTTGGGAGGCCCCGGAGGGGTTGTCAGACGGTTTAGGGTTTAGGGTTTAGGGTTTAGGGTTTAGGGTTTAGGGTTTAGGGTTTAGGGTTTAGGGTTTAGGGTTTAGGGTTTAGGGGCGGTTGCCACGACCTGGGTAGGGCCCGGTTGTGCTCTTGTACCATGTTATATGTTGGGATGTTCCCGCTTATACTAACAGCTCCTAACCCTAAACCCTAAACCCTAAACCCTAAAATACATTACACGTACGGAAGAGCCCCTCCTTACATGATGGAAGCCATCCCCCTGGGAAGGTCTGTGATCCCCTCTTTCGGAACCTCTTTTCCTAGTTCATATTATGGATGTTCCAAACCCTACCCTAAGCCCGTAGACCCTGAATCCTTTAGACACCAACCCCAACCTCTAAACTATATTTGCTTAAGAACCCGCCAAAACAAGTTCTTAAGGAATTAGTAGTAAACCTACCCCCCCCCCCCCCCCCCCCCAAGCATCCTAGGCCCGAAGAAGCCCTGAACCCCTAACCCCCAACCCGGAAACCTAAACCCCAACCCCCAAACCCCAATCCCCAAACCCCAAACCCCAAACCCCAAACCCTAAACCCTTAACCCTTAACCCTTAACCCTAAACCCTAAACCCTAGGCCTGGCCGGATGCCCTTCGCCTGGCCTTCGCTTTCCTGGACGTGGACGGCGACGGGGCCCTGGGCCCTAGGGACCTTGTGGCGCACTGCACAGGCGGGGCCGTTTAGGGTTTAGGGTTTAGGGTTTAGGGTTTAGGGTTCTAAAGGGAGTATAGGAGGGCTGAGGGTCTGTAGGGTGTATAGGGTTTTTGGGGCTTATTGGGTTTCTAGGGTTTATAGGGTTTACAGGGTTTATAGGGTTTATAGGGTTTATAGGGTTTATAGGGTTTATAGGGTTCAGGGGCTTCAGGAGTGTACGGGATCCACAGGGGTTTGACGTTTATGAAGTTTAGGGAGGACGGATGGGGTTGAACCACATCAAGGGGCCTTCTTCGTGGTCTTGCAGCATTTCCATATACAGGAGATCTCTCGAGGGGTGACCTGCCCCAAACCCTGAACACCTGAAACCCTAAGCAACCAAACCCTACAGCCCTGAATCCTACACCCCCTATGCCCCCTACACCCCGTAAACGTACCCTCTAAACCCACGAAGCCTTCCAAACCTCCCCCCCCTCACCCTAAACCCTAAACCCTAGACCCTAAACCCTAAACCCTGCACACGAGTTTTGCGCCCGAATTTTGAATAGCCTCGTCGCCAGGACCACCACGCCGACGCGAGAGCCTCGAGCCCGCTGCGGCGATGGCCAAGGTTTGCGGTTTAGGGTTTAGGGTTTAGGGTTTAGGGTTTAGGGTTTAGGGTGCAGGGTTTAGGGGTTAGGGGTTAGGGGTTAGGGTTTAGGGTGGTTGGATGTCCTGTTGTAGGGTTTCGGGTCGGGTTTGGGGCCTTTGGGCTTTAGGGGTCTAATGGTTTTAAGGGTTGGGTTTTTTATTTTGGGGTTTCGGGTTTCGGTTTAAGGTTTAGGGTCTAGGGGTCTTAGGGTCTAGGGGTCTTAGGGTCTTGGGGTCTTCGGGTCTTGGGGGCTTCGGGTTTTAGGGTTTTAGGGTCTTCAGGTCGCCGGATTCTTTTCGAAGTGACCCTAAGCACCAAGACCCAAAGCCCTAAACCCAAAATGTTTCTTCTCAGGTTCAGGGTTTAGGATTTAGTATTTCGGGTCTAGGGTTAAGGGTTTTCAGGGTTAGGACGTTTTCCTTCCACGGCAAAAAATAGGCCGAGCCTGACATAGACGTGTATAGAGTCTTCTACGCCTCTGAGTTTGAACCCTAAGCCCTGAGCCCCAAGCCCTCAGCCCTCAGCCCTCAGCCCTATAGCCCTAAACCCTAAACCCTAAACCCTAAACCCTAAACCCTAAACCCTAAACCCTAAACCCTAAACCCTAAACCCTAAACCCTAAACCCTAAACCCTAAGCCCTAAACCCTAAACCCTAAACCCCAAACGGCCCTCAAGCCTTGGCCCAAGATCAGTGGCTTCGTGGCTTCGAGGGCCGAGGGCTCTTTGTGGTACTTTACTGTAACTTTAGATCCTTACCTTTTTTGGGATTCTTGGGTTTCTTATTAAGGCAGCGAAAAGTTTAATTTATAGCTTTTGGGGTTTCTTGGGTTTCTTATTAAGGCAGCTAGAAGTTTAATTTATAGCTACCCTCCTAAGTGCAGCCAAGGGCCCTCGGGTTCACCTCTGAGGGCAGCTTCATGGGCCCTGACTATGGTCCCCTTTCTCCTTTAAAGGGTTCTGATGTGTGGGCCCTTAATGTGTATAGGGTATATGAGGGGTCTTTTAGGGTACCCTCTTAAAGGCCCAATATTCAGGGGCCATGCAGTTACGGCTATTTAGGGGATTCAGCCCAATTAAGGTTCCTGAAGGGGCAACCTAGGGGGGGTAGTTGAGAGGGGGGGGTAGTAGCCCTAGACCCTAAACCCTAAACCCCAAACCTTAAACCCTAAACCCTAAACCCTAAACCCTAAACCCTAAGCCCTACGTTCGGGGACCAGGGTCCCTGCCGAAGGCTGCCGTGCCGCAGACAGCGGAGCTGGTGCGGACATGGATACAACGGTGGGAGCCCAAAGACAGGCCAGCTGGTGCCCGTAAACCCTAAACCCTAAACCCTAAACCCTAAACCCTAAACCCTAAACCCTAAACCCTAAACCCCAGACCCACAATTTTTGAGCAAAGAGGGTTGGATCATGCCCTTAGCAACCCTCTCCGTGACCACAGCCGTAAACTTCGCGAAAAGCTTGGTAGCAAAAACTTTTGGTCGCGACAAGGCTTGCGCGACAAGGTCTGCGTTATGTTATGTAACTTATCTTCTTGATGGGGAGGTGGCTCTCCTATACAAGGGCTTGAAACAAAGAGAATAAAAGGGTGCCGTATTCTAGAAGGGAACCCAAAAGGCACGGCACCACCCATAATTACTTGGAGGTTCATGGTACTCACTAACCAATTTTAACTGTACTTATAGCCCTCTTATAAGCCTTAAGTGCCCTAATATGGTTATATGTACAGTTATAAGTACAGCTAACCATGAACCTCCAATCCAAGTATACTTGACTGACCCTGTGAGGGCCGCTTTGCTGCCAAGAAGTGGTTCATGTTCAGCCCGCGCGAAAGGCCTCCTCTTGGAGGTTCATGGCTTAGGGTTTAGGGTGTAGGGGTTGTACTTAGGAACCCAATTCCATCTGTACTTCTAACCCAAAGATCACCCTGTTGGGCTGCTTAGGGGGCTTTTGTGTGGGTTATAGCTACACTTATCATGGGTTGCTAAGTACGCTGAACCTCCAAGCAAAATCATGCCAACACAAGCAGCAATGGACAGCAAGACTGCTATCTTGAATGGGATGATTGAATGATGCGAGCAGGTCTACCGACACGCCAGCGGCCATCACGCAAGCGGGCCTCAGAGAGGTGGGAGGTGTAGAGGCAATGTAGGGTGGGTGTCGAGCTGGGATTTACGGTCGATACGTTTTAGTTGGTTTCTCGTGTTTTTTTGTGATTGGAGATGGACCCCGGACCCCCTCTGGGCCCTAAACCCTAAACCCTAAACCCTAAACCCCAAACCCCAAACCCTAAACCCTAAACCCTAAACCCTAAACCCTTTGAAGCCTTGCTTGGAAGGCCCTCTTGGCGTCGTGTAGAGGCGACGATTCCCTCTATGGTGTCCTCGATGACAACGAGGCCGGGGGGTCCGGCGCCCGACCGTGCGCGGGAGTGGAAACCAGGAGAAGGATTGTTTAGGGTTTGGGGTTTAGGGTTTCGGGTTTAGGGTTTGGGGTTTTTTTGGGGTTTGGGGTTTGGGGTTTAGGGTTTAGGGTTGAGGATCCCCTTTTGCGTTTGCGCTGATGCTGTGTGCGCCTTGTTGTAGCTGCGTTGCAGTGGCAGAAGTGCGTGACATGCCTGTTCTTACCTAAAGGCGCCTAGGTAGTACCTCTTTGGGGTAGTATACTCGAATCCCCAACAACTAAACCAAAAAGGAACTACATTGGAGCCTTCAGGTATGCCGGAAGCACGTAGGCAATCTGTTAAATTCACATGGGTGGTTGTCAAAATTAAGATCCCTTTTTGGGGTACCCTAAACCCTAAATACTAGGTGCCGTATTATAAAAGGGATCCAAAAAGGGACCATCATTTTGACAACCACCCACATGGGTCTGGCCTTTGAGGAGGAGGGGGGGGGGGTCTCTTCTAGGTTGGGCTGTGCAGGTCCTCAGTCTCGTCTGCTTGTGGATTGGCGTGAGCGACCCCTTTTTCCCTAAACCCTAAACCCTAAACCCTAAACCCTAAACCCTAAACCCTAAACCCCAAACCCTAAACCCTAAACCCTAAACCCTCAAACCTCAACCCTAAACCCTAAACCCTAAACCTGGCACAGGACGATGGAGCCGTGGGTGGAGACACGGAGATGGAGGGAGAGGACAGCAGCCAAGGTCCCTAGAAATCCGAACTAGGGGTTTAGGGTTTAGGGTTTAGGGCTACTACGGCCCGGAGTAGGCCCTTGTTCCCTTTTTTTCTTAGGGTTGGGGTTCCCCTACAATCCCCTTAAATTGACCTGAACGCTCCAAGGTGGGCTCCTTTTTGGGTTTGTTAAATAGGGGATTCTCGTATTCTAGCCCCAACAAGGTACTACATGGGAGCCTTTGGGTAATGTAGGGGTCGGAACAGTTACGAATATTACCCTTAGGGTTCCCTCATAATTATACTATAATAACCCCTAAAACCCTATTCCTAAACCCTAAACCCCGAAACCCTACTCCAATTTTATTAGGCCCCTATATTAGGCTCACGAACACCAACTTTTGCTCTTCTGGGAGGAGCGCGCCGTTCGGGGCAGAGGCGCCCGGGCAGGGCTGGCGCAGAACGGAAGACCAACATACCCGTTTAGGGTTTAGGGTTTACGGTTTAGGGCCTTAGGAAACTTTGAACCCTATGGACTTCTAAACCCTACGAGCTGCCCAAGAAAACCCAAGCCCCCCCAAAAAAGCCCTAAACCTTAAACCCGAAACCCTGAACCCTAAACCTCCCAAGCTGCCCTATACCCTCAAAGTTTTAGGCGCCGACCTCTTAAGGGTAGTTGCATGGTCCCTGAGTATGGTCCCTTACCTTCTTTAAAGTTAAGCATTCTGAAGTATGTGCCTTTGGGTGTATAGTAAACGAGTTTCCCAATTTAGGGCCCATATGAAGGGACCATGCAACTGCCCAAATTAAACCCTAAACCCCAAACCCCAAACCCTCAACCCTAACCCCTCAACCCTAGACCCTGAACCCTAAACCCTAAATCCTAGCCCTAAACCCTAACCCCGTATGTTTGCTGCTCGAGGCCCCGAAGAAGCCCTGGGCATCTGGGGCGACTCTGGGGGCACGGGCGCGGGCAGCGGAATCGCGCTGAGCTTCGCAAGCGCCTGGGAGAAATTGCTGCCCTAGACCCTAGCCCTAGACCCTAGCCCTAAACCCTAAACCCGAAACCCTAAACCCGAATTAAACCCTAAACCCCGAAACCCTAATCCCTAAACCCTGAGTTCTGTGGTTTCGGAGGTTGGGCTTAGGGGGTCGATGGCGGCCGAGAGAAGTTCTGCCTGCAGTGCCCTGCAGGGTTTGCCCTGAATTTGGTGGCTTTCTTCCTACTTGTTACAAATCCCATTCGGGTTTAGGGTTTTAGGGCTTTCGGGTTGCAGGTTTAGGGTTTAGGGTTTTAGGGTTTAGGGTTTAGGGTTTTAGGGTTTTAGGGTTTAGGGTGGTGGGGTTTAAGGATTTTAGGGTTTAGGGTTTTAGGGTTTCTTCCCTTCCTCCCGTTTCCCCCCTGCCCACCCCAGAAGAGAACCTGATGTTTGGAGTCTTTACACGCCATGGCATCTACAACGTATTTTGTGGCGATACGCAAGCCCTAAACCCTAAACCCTAAACCCTGATACCCCTAGTACCTCTAATACCCCTAGACACCTAAACTACTAGTTGCTTAAAAACCTCCCTCCCCCCCCCCCCCCCCCCCAAAAAAAAAAAAAAGAGAGAGCAAGAAAGACATCTTAAATCGAAGGACAACGTAGGGATTATTATGTTTGCTTTCTTGGGGGCTCTTTTAGGAAATAGTGGTGAACCGTAAGGAGCCCCGATTCCCTTCGCTTGAAACTGCTGGGGACGCCGCCCTAAACCCCAAACCCCAAACCCCAAACCCCAAACCCCAAACCCTAAACCCTAAACCCTAAACCCTAAACCCTAAACCCTAAACCCTAAACTTTAAGCCCTGCCGAGGAGACCACCGAGTCCCACCCCTCGCCGTCGGCGGCATCTGAGGTCCTTGGTGGGGCTGAGAAGGGTTTAGGGTTTAGGGTTTAGGGTTTAGGGTTTAGGGTTTAGGGTTTCGGGTTTAGGGTTTAGGGTTTAGGGTTTTAGGGTTTTAGGGTTTTAGGGTTTCGGGTTTAGGGTTTTAGGGTTTAGGGTTTAGGGTTTAGGGCTAAGGGTTGAGGGTTGAGGGTTGAGGGCTCAGGGTTTTAGGGTTTAGGGTTTTAGGGCTTACGGTTTGGGGTGTGAGCCTTGGTTGAGGCCACTGGTGGGATTCCGTTTTTTTTTTTTTTTTGGGGGGGGGGGGGTGCTTGGGGGATAGTAGTATATTATGCAACGCCGACTCAGGTTTGGGGGTTTCAAGGGTTCGTAATGGGGGCCTGGGAAAGTTGGCTTCACAGATGTCGGTCCTGTCTCGTCTTGTCGCGCGTTCGGGCGTGTTCCGGCGTCGACCCTGTGCCCGACCAAGGGAACCCTTCTTGAGATATGGTTACTGGGCTACCGAGTCACCATAGTAAGCTCCACGAAGCACCGCCCTCAGAAGCCGGGGTGGTTGCACACGCGGGCTTGCACGAGCCCTCTGTGCCTTTTGTCTTCGCACCGCCCTCAGAAGTAGGTGTGGTTGTGAAGTTGCCTTTGTAGGAGTGTAGCCTTTGTTCTTGTACAATGCCTCCGGGCTTCCGTGCCTTTTGCCGCTGCCTTGAGCGCATCGAGAGAGACGAGGGTAAGCTCCATGATCTCCCACCCCCCCCCAACTCCCCCCCCGCCGAACACCCTAAACCCTAAACCCTAGACCCCAAACCCTAACCCTAAACCCCAAACCCTAAACCCCAAACCCCAAACCCTAAACCCCAAACCCTAAACCCCAAACCCTAAACCCTAAACCCCAAACCCTAAACCCTAAACCCCAAACCCTAACCCTAAGCCCCGAAACTGTGAGTTGCAGACTTCTCCCGCGAGGACCTCGACATCGCCCTCGCGGCCCCAGAGGCATCCGTGAGTCGGCTCTTCGCCCGCCTCTGAACCCTCAGCCCGAAACCCAGACTCTGAGTTAGGGTTTAGGGTTTAGGGTTTAGGGTTTAGGGTTTAGGGTTTAGGGTTTAGGGTTTAGGGTTTAGGGTTTAGGGTTTAGGGTTCAGGGTTTCAATGAATAGCGGACACGCTTGAAAATGGAAGGGGCGGTGGCGGCAGTGGTTGCAAGTTCCTCATCACGGAATCATGAGAGCTTCCAGTCCTATCCCTGAAGTCGAGGTCCCTCGAAAAGGGTTTCACCCCGCCCTCCCCCACCCCCAACCCCCAAAAAGGGGGAGCTGCAGCGTAAAATGAGAATCCTACCGGCCCTTTGTGGTATTTGCAAAGGCGGTGAGGCGAAGCAACATCAAGCCGTGAGCCCTGAACCCTAAGCCCTGAGCCCTAAACCCGAAACCCTAAACTCCTAAACCCCAAACCCTAAACCCTAAACCCTAAACTCCAAACCCTAAACCAGCCTCAAGAGCAAACGAGCCAAGATTGCGTTTCACCAGCCCACCCGGCTGCCCTGCTCGCATGATAAAGCCAGGGATCACATGGGAACCTGAAAAAGATGCTACAGTAACCTGCAAACCCTAAACCCTAAACCCTAAACCCTGAACCCTGAACCCTGAACCCTAAACCCTAAACCCTAAACCCTAAACCCTAAACCTCCCAACAGTTGGAGGATCATTCTCCTTATACCCCAAGAGGGTTACTAAAGGGAATCCCAGCACGAATCGTCCTTTAACCATGTACTTTCTGGAGTTCACTGCAAGTGTGGTTTACTAGATAGGCCCTTGTGATCTTTCATATATTCCCTTATTGGGCTTAACAGGATCATCTTTCCGGATATTTTCAGAGGGTGTTTAGGGTCCATTGTTTAATTATCGGTGTTTAGGTATCTGTCTCTGTGTGTGTGTGTGTTGCTTGGGTAACCTATATCTAAACTCTATTTTATTTAAATGCAGACCCTCAACCCTAAAAAATCGGGTCTACAGCACGGGGCTCGGGCCTCGTGGGGTCTATCTGCGAGACGGGCAGCGGCCGCAATACGCGCGCCATAATTGAGCCGGAGCATGCGTGAAATCATGTCATGACCCACCCACAGCTGGTGGATACCCCCAAAGGAAGACGTGGTTTAGGGTTTGGGGTTTAGGGTTTGGGGTTTGGGGTTTGGGGGGAGGGGGGGAGTTTAACAACTTGGTGGTCCTATTTCCCGAGCCACAACCACAAGCCATAAGCAAATGCGCTGACATGGAGAACCCCCCCCCCCCCCCGGCACACGAAGCCTTAAACCCCGAACCCTGAGCCCTCGGCCCTAGACCTGGCTATTTTCCTGTCTGAAGTAGGCGATTTATTTGTTATGAACAGACAGCATTTATTATTGTTATTATGATGCCCTAATTTAATCATACTTATTTTTTTATTATTATTATTACTATTCCTATTGCTATTTCTATTTCTATTACTACTACTACTACTACTACTACTACTACTACTACTACTACTACTACTACTACTACTACTGCTACTACTACTACTGCTACTGCTACTGCTACTGCTACTGCTACTGCTACTGCTACTGCTACTGCTACTGCTATCACTATTACTATCACTATTACTAGTACTATCACTATTACTAGTACTATTACTATTACGATTATTGTTACTATTACTATGACTATCACCGTTGCTTTTACTATTTTGTGAAGTCGACCAGCACTGGACTTGCACTAAGCCAATGCAATCACAGCCCGGCCACGCTGTTTTACGACTTCGCGAGTTCAAGCACTTGTGCAGCTACGCCTGAGTGCGTCCGGTCGGACCGCACAGCAACCTAAGAGCTACTGTACGACTCTACCGTGCTCAAAGGCACAAGCTCGGTACTTGAGCCAAAATTGGCATTGAAACGAATTGCAAAACTACACATGCAAAGAAAACTACAGTACTGGTTCTGGCAGCTCGGCACATGCAACGTGCGTGCTTAGACCTGCTCACATTCGCCCCTCAGCCGAGGCTTCCAGCTCATCTCGAGCTCGGAGTGCAGCAGGCACTCGCGCTGAACACAGAAAGGGAAGGGAGAGGGTGTCGCGTGCGACCGCGGTGGTCCGCACATCATGAGCATTGGCATGCGGCAGGGACGCTAGCCCGCACCACCACAACGAACGCACGACGACGGCAACCCTCAGCAACCCTAAACCACCCTTTCCCAGGAGGTCCTCACCCTTTTGCTGGTGGGCGAGGCTCTTGAATCCTCGAGCTGGTCTCTAGCTGCCAGTACGCAGACTATGGTACAAATGGTACACTGTACACTACCGGTCCTAAGCTACGGCTACGGCTACTCACCTATCCGGAACTACCCTACGGGCTACCAGACTCAGTGAGAGCCGCGCACATGGCTCGTGCCGCAGGCAATGCAACTCACACGCGCTTCGGCGAGCGCATTGCCGCGACCAGGACACGGTCCGCAGCACCTGCAAAAGAGCACCCTCAGCACGAGGGGCCACAGGCAGGGCGGAGGAGAAAAGTGCGGGGAATGCAAAATGGGCAGGTTTCCAACCTGCCGCGGCTTTTCGCCCGCAGTCAAGCAAAAGAAAGTGCAAAAGGTTGGCGATGCAACGTGCCGTGCTGCAACGCCTGCTCTGATAATGCGTGGATGCATACCACGCCGCGCCAACTGGCCGCAGCCTACTCGATACCCTGTGGAGCAGTGTTGAGGGCACGAGTGGCGTTGCCAGCAACGTTGGAGCTACTGGCTCGCTCCAACTGAGGGCGCCTTGCGAAGAGGAAGGGTTCCTCGAGCTTGGCCAAACGGTGGTCAGCAGCGCGAAGGAGTACCTCGCGCGGTCCGAAGCTCTTCTGAGAGCGCAGAAATGTTGGATTCGTGGTATTCGAGCTTTACTTCGTAGCATTCGGGTTTTGGAAAATTCATTTTTGGGGAGATTTACGTCATGAAAAAATCCATAGTGGGAAAGTGAAGTCCTGAAAAATCCACCTGGACAAAAGCTTTTTTGGGCCCGTGGGAAGAACTTACCCGCTTGCTCCTGCTCCGGGGGGGGAAGGGGGAAATTAGGAGTCTAGGGCGAAGGCAAGACCGCGAAATCTCTCCCCTTTCCCTCTCTCTCTCCCTCCGCTTTCATGTGTGATGTAAGGCGTAGAAAGAAAACACACGCATGACCTTGACCCCTGCCACTTACCTTTTCCTCACTGTTGGTGAAATTTGTGGGTTTAGGGTGAACAAGTCAACACGCTTTTGACCTTTGACACAGCTATGTTGTGAAAGCATACTTTTGTTTTCATTCCAGGTCTGGCAAATTTCAAACATATGCTGTCTGGCACAGCCAAGCCTGCAAGAACCCCAGAGCTGACAGATCAATGGTTTGCAAGAATTAACATTTCTGTTGTGGTATCTTCTGGCTCAACTAAACTCAACAAGTATATATTTTTTACGAGCGAGGGCAACCTTAAGGGTGTACTGTGTGTTCATGAAGTGTTTTGGGGGCGAGCAGATCCTTGGCCCTACACCCCAAGACCTAAACCCTAGCAACCCTAAACCCTAAGCCGAAACCCTATAAACCCTAAACCCCCCCCCCTCCCCCCCGAAACACATTGATACCCCATATTAACCTTAAATCTTAACCTGGAGCACTGAGATTGCACAGTAAACCTTGCACCCTAAACCCTAAACTACGCACAATCCTCGAAACCCTTTTGCAGGCCCTGTCAGGATGTCAGGCACAATCGCAGTGGGCCTCGTCGAGCAGGAGCAGATCCCCGCACAGGGGGGGGCTGTGTCCCGAGCAGGGGGGTTTGATTTGTGCCCCGAACAGGGGCAAACAGAACCCCGAACAGGGGTGGGGAATCGAACCCCGCACAGGGGTTTGTTGGTGCCCCGAACAGGGGCAAGCAGAACCCCGAACAGGGGTGGGGAATCGAATCCCGCACAGGGGTTTGTTGGTGCCCCGAACAGGGGCAAGCAGAACCCCGAACAGGGGTGGGGAATCGAACCCCGCACAGGGGTTTGTTGGTGCCCCGAACAGGGGCAAGCAGAACCCCGAAGAGGGGTCACAGGTGGAACCCCGAACAGGGGTCTTTCGTGCCCCGAACAGGGGCAAGGAGGTTCCGGAACAGCCGTGCTACGTCGACCCCGAACAGAGGTTTTTCGTGCCCCGAACAGGGGCAAGGAGCTCCCCGAACAGGGGTGGAATTTGGAACGCTCAAACATGCTGCCCTGAGGTGTCACCGGCTTCAAAGGGATCATTGACATGGTGTGCCAGGCTCTCAGATTTCAATCAGGCAACACACGACAGGAGGGAACGAGGCCCATCAGTGAGTGAGTGAGTCAGTGACTGTGCCAGTGAGTGAGTGACTGATGCAGTGCCTGCATGTCTGGCGCGGTTAGTGAAAAGCGTGTGTGTGTGTGTGTGTGTGTGTGTGTGTGTGTGTGTGTGGGTGTGTGTGGGTGTGTGTGTGTGTGTGTGTGTGTGTGTGTGTGTGTGTGGGTGTGGGTGTGGGTGTGGGTGTGGGTGTGGGTGTGTGCGCGGGTGGGTGTGTGAGTGTGCGTGTGCGTGTGCGTGTGCGTGGGCGGGTGTGTGTGTGTGTGTGTGGGTGGGTGGGTGTGTGTGTGTGTGTGTGGGAGTGTGCGTGCGTGTGCGTGCGTGCGCATGGGTGGGGTGAATGAGTGAGTGACTGAGTGACTGAGTTTCTCAGCGATCGAGCGAGCGAGCGAGTGAGTGAGTCTGAGAGAGAGTGTTTGATGGCATGAGTGAGTGAGTGAGTGCGTGAGTCAGTGGGCGAGTCAGTAAGTGAATGATTGAGTGTTCATGAGAGCACAAGTGTGAGTGAGAGCGCAGGTGAGAACATGAGCGAGGGCGAGACTGAGACGAGAGTGAGAGTGTTGAGAGTGAGAAGTGAATCGGAGTAAGAGAGACAGAAAACCAGAGAACACACGCGCAAAGCGCAAACCTACCTCGCATGACCCCGCATGATGGTGTCAACGCATAACCCTGAGCTGTCTGTCATCTCAAAAGTAAAGACACCCACATGTCATGTGTAGCACTCTGAATCTGAAGCTCTGGTCATGTGTAGCACTCTGAATCTGAAGCTTTGTGCCGAGGCTGCCCACGCCCAGCTCGACCACACCCCACCGACTTCTGCAAGAGGTCATGACCTCGGAAGATTTGTTTGGTCACATGACATGAGACGGCACACATCAAAGTGGCTGACAATAGTGCGACGCATGTCGCTGTGTGAGCTCTTTTTTTCGTCGGGCAGCATGAGTGCCATGACGTCTGTTTGTGAGCATAGCTGGGAAGAGTCGAAGTCCACATGTCTATCACATGTGTGCGGCGTGCTGTTTGCACACGGGCCTCCAAGAAGCTATCAGGGGCAACAGTGAGCAGCCATTGTGTTGTGAACTGCTGTTTCAGAAATTCTGCTGCTGTTATTGCTGCCCCGGCATGCAGAAACCTTACTTAGTCCTCCTCCACCTTCACTTGGGTCTTTGTGCTCGAAGGGGATCTGCTGCGATCTGACCACCAGGGTTTGGAAGGATGGCAAGACTGACATGAATCAAGCCCAGCAAACACCGCAAAGGTGCCTGCAGGCGAGGTCGATGCGGCCAGAGAGGTAGGTGAGAGGGCCATGGGAAAGTCCTCCATGATGCTGACACAAAATTAAGTTTTCGTTAAGCAGGCAAGCCAAGGAAAAAATTGACTCTGAACACCTGCAGCACTCCCTGCCTCGCCAGGGGAGTGTGCTGTAGGCAGCTCTTCCGGGAGAGTGGCAGCCTGGAACAGTAACACACAAGGTGCACGGATTTGCAGGGAGCCACATAACTGACAAAGTGGCTGGCCTCATCTTTAACAGTGTCAGTGTCACTGACATCAGTGGCGGAAGCAGCGGCCAAGACAGCAGCACCCTGGAACAGGAATAATTGCGGCAGCAAACACTGGGCAGCAACTCCCATGATCATTACTCTTGCCTCAGCTTGGCCTGGATTTGCACAGGTCTCCTGGCACAATTTCTTGGAAAGCTAAATGAAATGCGACGGCACCAGCAAAATCCTAGCCTCGACAAGCGCAGGAAGCTGTCGTTTTTTCTTGTCCTGGCAAGTCAGACTGAAGAGCTATGTGTTTAATAAGTCGGCTCAAGGCTTGAACAAGAGACCGACAACATGCAGGACTCCATGCTCACAGACCTATCCGTGTTTTGCAACGGAGTCCTTCGGATCCTCCTTCTCCTTACCCTCCAGTGCTTTCAGGCGGAGAGTCTTCGACAGCAGGCGGCGCTTCAAGATCGCTTCCTTGCGCCTCCATTTCCCGATGCTGTGCTGGACCCTGGCCTTATACACGCCTTGTTTCTTCGCAGCCTCCCGGCTCTCCTCCTGATGGGCCAGTAGCTGGGCCTCCGCACCCTGCTGGATCAGCTCGAGCTCAGCCTTGTGCTTGCCCATGAGCTCTGCCAGCCCCTGCGCGTGCTCCACGAGGGCACGCTCATGCTTCCCCTTCTGCTCGAGCATCTCCTCTCGGTGCTTGGCCTGGACCTCCTTCATCCCAGCCTTGTGCGTGGCCTTGAGCTCCGCCGTCTGCCGCTGGTGCTCCACGACGGCACACTCATGCTTGCCCTTGAGCTCCTCCATCGTCTTGTCATGCTTCGCCCGGAGCTCCTCCATCGCCTGCTCGTGCTCCAGGAGCACACCCTCGTGCTTGGCCTTGAGCTCGTCCATCCCCCGCTTGTGCTCCGCAGCCATGTCATCAAGGCTCTTCTGGTTCTGCTCCTCTTTCTGGGCCAGCTGCTTCTGCAGCATGACCTGGCCAGCCGCGCCCCATCCTGTGGCCGCTGAGGCTATCTCCAGTTTGGTGGTATGATCCGCCGCCAGCTTCTCCACCTCCTCCTGCCACTCATTGTACATGCGCTGGAGCTTCCGATTGCAAACCCTCTGGATGTCCGAGAAGTCTTTCGTACGGTGCTGTTCCCCAGGTTTCCTTTCCAGCGTCACTTTCCACTTCTCAGGCAGCTGAAAGCGTAAGTTCTTGCTGGCGTCACGCCGACGCTGCTCCAGCCTGACCTGGTGTGCTTCATCATCAGCTGCCGTCCACTCCCCAGACCTCCACTTCAGTATCTCCTCGGGTGTCCAGTCTCCATCGCCATGGCTGTCGCCAGCGCCGGACATCACGATTTGCTTTGGCCCCGCAAAGTTGAAGCATGTACAATATCATTTGCCGTAACGTAGTAGTGGTGGTTGTTGTGGTGGTGCTGGTGGTGGTAGTGCTACCTATTAGTAGTACCAGTACTACACTGTACTACCTATAATACTGTTAATCACTTCCTCGTACTACTGGTGGATTAACCAATGTGAAAAATTTCATGACAGGGGCGGATACAGTTAGACTGCGCCGACGATGGTGAACACATGACAAGAGGCCAGGAAGGCATGTGGCGTGAGAGGTGAGGCAGCCTATTTATCCTAAGCTGCGGATTGTGAGTTGGGCGATACTGCTAAGGGGCACTTTCTTGACGCTTATTGCTGCACCTTGGCCCTTTGCTCCCTTTGCTGCAAAGCATGACACAAGCACACAAGGTTCTGCAGCATGTTGCAGCAAGAAGAGTTCTGCTGGCAAGCACATGCAAGCTGGGCTGTCAATTCAATTCGTAAATCATGTCTGCTACCAACTGTGGCTGCCAGACGCATGGTGTGCTGAGAGCCCAGCAAAGGTTCTCGCCTCGCATCCTCGACAGCGCATGTCGCCCCGGCCCCAGCCTCAATGCGCACGAGAAGCTTCTGTAGCTGGCTTGGCACTTGTACTGTCCAGAGCGCAGAGAAGTCTAGGGTTTAGGTTGAGAGTTGAGAACCCTGCACTTGCCCCCCCTCCCTTTCTCTCAAGACCAGAGCCCAAAATCCTCCGTAACACCCCCAAGAAACAGCCAGTTTCGGATGAAGATACCTCCTCCCCCCTCCTTCCTTGCCCATCAAAGCACCCAACCTCCCACCAAGGCCTCACCCCGCCCCTTGACCCCATGCATCCCCCCACCCCCGCCCCGCAATTGTGAAACGTGTCAGAAACAAACACAATTATTGGAAGCCCAGAAGAAGCCAGCTTCAAGGACAACCTCTAACCCAGAAATGACTCTCACAACTTTCCCTTCCCTGCCCCAGCACACACTGCAGTACCCTAAACACAGTTTGACTTTTGAAGACCAGAAGCAGCCGCCTTAAGAGCGCCACGGACAACATGCAGAAGACCTGAAGAAGGCGAGACTCCCTGCAAGACCCCCGAAAACACGAACGCCAAAAACAAACGCAGAAGCCGTCAAGAAGCCCCCTTTTGACCCCGCGCCCCGTTTTGGACCCCCTTCGCAAACACGCTGCACAAGCCTCAAGCCCTCGACAGCCCTGAAGAAGCCACCTTTGGACCACAGGAAGCCTCAGAAGCCTTCAAGAAGCCCCCTTTGCTGCACGTGTCAAAAGCCCGAAGCAAGGCATCTTTGGACCACACAGCAAGCGTCACAAGCCTGAAGAAGCTGCTCTTTCGACCACGACCACAAAGCCATGTTTGCCAGACACAGGAAGCCTCCGCCTCTATACCACGAGAATACCGCAAGAAGCCGGCTTCTCATGGTCCAAGCCGCCCAAGAAGCCCTCCTTTATACCACAAGAAGCCCTCCCTTATACCACAAGAAACCGCCTTTGGACCACTCTATACCACAAGAAGCCCTCCTACAAGAAGCTCTCCTTTATACCACAAGAAGCCGGTTTGGGTTTGGACCACTCCTTTGCAAGAAGCCCTCCTTTATACCACAAGAAGCCGCCGGCCTTTGGACCACAAGAAGCCCGCTTACAAGAAGCCCTACTTTATACCACAAGAAGCCGGCTTTGGACCACCACAGGAAGCCCTCCTTTATACCGCAAGAAACCACCTATACCACAAGAAGCCGCCTTTGGACTACTCCTTTATACCACAAGAAGCCTCCTGGACCTTTATACCACAAGAAGCCGCCTTTGGACCACTACCACAAGAAGCCGCCTTTGGAGCCGCCTTTGGACCACGTGTACCACAAGAGAAGCCGCCTTTGGACCAGAAGCCGCCTTTGGACCACAAAGGCGGCTTAAGCAAGAGACACCACAAGGGTCGCTGCCAACTAAGGCCGCGGACCACAGGACCACAAAGCAGGCTTCTGAAAAAAGGCCGCTTCCAAAAGAACCTCAGGGACCGCTGGACCAGGACCAACAAGGCGGCTGCCCGACTAAACAAGGAATACAACAAGGGCGGCGGCTTCGTAAACGAGCCGGCTTCCGAAAGGCTTCCTAAACAATACCACAAGGACGGCAAGGGCGGCTTCCTAAACAAGGTGGCTTCCGAAAGCGCGTGACGCCCGAAACCCTCAACCCAAACCCTAAAGTACACATTACAACCACAGGAGGGGCGGTTTCTGAACCTCTCTAAAATCGCCTTCGGGATCTCGATTCCCCACACAGGCGGCCAGCGGCACGCTTCTAACACAGAGAGGACGATAGGACCCCAGAGGCGGCGTCCTAAAGTATGTACCCCCAGAAAAGTCCACACAGGCGACCACAAAGATAGCTTCCCAAAGCAGCTTCTGAAAGTACATCTACGTACCTCGTTAGTACTTTCGGCGGTCCCCAAGGGTGGGATGTCATTTGTATGTGGGTGCGAACAAGTGCGTTCTTGCGCTGGCCAGTGCATAATGAAACCTTGCAACACTCTTCATGAATGATTTGAGGTGCTCCCTTATAGGCATGGGATGTCGGTTGTATGTGGGTGCGAACAGGTGCGTTCTTGCGCTGGCCAGTATACAATGAAACCTTGCAACACTTATCATGAATGAATTCAGGTGCTCCGTTATAAGGCTGGGATGTCGTTTGTAGGCGGGTGCGAACAGGTGCGTTCTTGCGCTGGCCAGTACAATGAAACCTTGCAACACTTTTCATGAATGAATTCAGGTGCTCCGTTCTTCGGCTGGGATGTCGTTTGTATGTGGGTGCGAACAGGCGCGTTCTTGCGCTGGCCAGTACAATATGAAGCCTTGCAACACTTTTCATGAATGATTTGAGGTGCTCCCTTATAAGCCTGGGGTGTCGTTTGTACGTGGGTGCGAACAGGTGCGTTCTTGCGCTGGCCAGCACAATGAAACCTTGCAACAGTCTTCGTGAATGATTTCAGGTGCTCCGTCATAAGGCTGGGATGTCGTTTGTATGTGGGTGCGAACAGGTGCGTTCTGGCGCTGGCCAGTACAAAATGAAACCTTGCAACACTCTTCATGAATGAATTTAGGTGCTCCATTATAAGCCTGTGATGTCGTTTGTATGTGGGTGCGAACAGGTGCGTTCTTGCGCTGGCCACTAAATGAAACCTTGCAACACTCTTCATGAATGGTTAGATTTTCTCCTTTATAAAACTAAGATGTCGTTTCTATGTGGGTGCGAACAGGTGCGTTCTTGCGTTGGCCAGTACAATATGAAGCCTTGCAACACTTTTCATGAATGATTTGAGGTGCTCCGTTATAAGCCTGGGGTGTCGTTTGTACGTGGGTGCGAACAGGTGCGTTCTTGCGCTGGCCAGCACAATGAAACCTTGCAACAGTCTTCGTGAATGATTTCAGGTGCTCCGTCATAAGGCTGGGATGTCGTTTGTATGTGGGTGCGAACAGGTGCGTTCTGGCGCTGGCCAGTACAAAATGAAACCTTGCAACACTCTTCATGAATGAATTTAGGTGCTCCATTATAAGCCTGTGATGTCGTTTGTATGTGGGTGCGAACAGGTGCGTTCTTGCGCTGGCCACTAAATGAAACCTTGCAACACTCTTCATGAATGGTTAGATTTTCTCCTTTATAAAACTAAGATGTCGTTTCTATGTGGGTGCGAACAGGTGCGTTCTTGCGTTGGCCAGTACAATGAAACCTTGCAACACTCTTCATGAATGATTTGAGGTGCTCCGTTATAAGGCTGGGATGTCGTTTGTATGTGGCTGCGAACAGGTGCGTTCTGGCGCTGGCCACTAAAAGAAACCTTGCAACAATATTCATGACAATGAATGATTGCGGGTGCTCTGTTATAAGGCTGGGATGTCGATTGTATGTGGGTGCGAACAAGTGCGTTCTTGCGCTGGCCAGTACAATATGAAACCTTGCAACACTCTTCATGACAATGAATGATTGCCGGTGCTCTGTTGTAAGGCTGGGATGTCGGTTGTATGCGGGTGCGAACAGGTGTGTTCTTGCGCTGGCCAGTATACAATGAAACCTTGCAACACTTTTCATGAATGAATTCAGGTGCTCCGTTCTAAAGCTGGGATGTCGTTTCTATGTGGGTGCGAACAGGCGCGTTCTTGCGCTGGCCAGTACAATATGAAGCCCTGCAACTCTCTTCATGAATGATTTGAGGTGCTCCCTTATAAGCCTGGGCTGTCGTTTGTACGTGGGTGCGAACAGGTGCGTTCTTGCGCTGGCCAGTACAAAATGAAACCTTGCAACCCTCTTCATGAATGATTTTAGGTGCTCCATTATAGCCTGTGATGTCGTTTGCATGTGGGTGCGAACAGGTGCGTTCTTGCGCTGGCCAGTACAATGAAACCTTGCAACACTCTTCATGAATGAATGGAGGTGCTCCGTTATAAGGCTGGGATGTCGTTTCTATGTGGGTGCGAACAGGTGCGTTCTTGCGCTGGCCAGTACAATGAAACCTTGCAACACTCTTCATGAATGAATGGAGGTGCTCCGTTATAAGGCTGGGATGTCGTTTCTATGTGGGTGCGAACAGGTGCGTTCTTGCGCTGGCCAGTACAATGAAACCTTGCAACACTCTTCATGAATGAATGGAGGTGCTCCGTTATAAGGCTGGGATGTCGTTTCTATGTGGGTGCGAACAGGTGCGTTCTTGCGCTGGCCAGTACAATGAAACCTTTCAACACTCTTCATGAATGAATGGAGGTGCTCCGTTATAAGG